AGCCCAGGTATGACAAAAATAAATATACTAGAAGTAATTATAATTTTTACATTTATTATGTAGGATAACTACTTTTTAGGCTGGATTCTAAAGCTCAATATAACTACTATTTCAAAAGGTGTCCTTATCTTTAAAGAGCAGTGATTTCAAGGATATTGAACTATTATTATTTTAATTGTGTAATTAAATGAAATCAGTATCTCAGTATAGTGTTGCATGCAATAGCACTGATAAAAATTAATCATAAAATTTCACTATGTTTATTATTAGACTTACACCAAATAATATAGAAAAATCATTAAAATGGTGCCACTGAACTCCTATTAAGAATAACAAATAGAATTCAAGTGATGGTTTAGTATTGTGATGCTTCATGCAGCCTGTAGTAGCAATTTTGCATTGATAAAGTTACATTTTCGCTAACATGACCTCTTCTATTGGTCCTAGCATAGTTAATACGTACATAAATTTATTGCCCAAGTATAGAAGTGTTTTAAAGACAGACTATCCATGAATGATTGTCCTTTACATGGATATTTATGGTCCTGTCGGGTCCGCATCAGTCCGTCCGTCCGTCCTTTTCGGGCGGGGCGGGTCCGTCCGTCCGTCCGCTTTTGAGACCCTACCTCCAACTACTCGCGAGCGCTTGGACCCCCGGTCCAAAAATAAGGGGGGTCCAACTACCCTCCAACACCGGTGGGTCTGGCAAATTGACCATACTCCGCCCGTTCTGGTTCACCCAAAAATGGGTGAAGTGGATGCATCAAGTGAATGCTTGCTTCTTTCTGGCAGAGCTCAAGAGCAGGACCTAAAAGGCAAAAGGCTTCTTTTACTTGATAGATATGGTGATCTTTCGGAAGAAAGCTTTGGTAGCCCTTTAATTGGCCTAGATCAAGCGGGCCGTGAGAGGGAGAAGATGTATAATTTGTCACAGCTGTTCCTCTAGCTTTTTGTCACTTAAGAAGAAGGTAGTAGAAGAGAAGAGTCGAGAGTTACTGTATCAACTCACCCGTTTCTGGGTGAAGTAGAGCAAAAAAATTGGTTCACCCATTTTTGGGTGAACCAGAACGAGCGGAGTATGGTCAATTTGCCAGACCCACCCGTAGGCACGGAGGGTGTGGTCTGGCTACGCGAGACTAAGACCGGATGGTCACATGCTCTTTTCGCAGGAAGTGACATCATTACCCACGTGAAAAAATGTGACAGTATTACTTGAAGGCTGAAGCATTAAGCAAGTACCTTTAAGACTGTTCTGGAAATATTCTCAACATGAGAATTTTAATTTAAACTCCAAAGGTGAAGGAAACAAAGGAGAGGAAAGATAAAAGAGAGAAAATATGCATACCAATAATAATTGAAATTTAATTTTATTAAAAATAACTATGTATTATTAATATCACTGAGGTATTGTTGATGACTTTGTAGGATTCCTTGATGACATGCCACAAACAAGTAGATTCAATTATTAATGATGATTACAGTCTGCTGATGGCTCATGCTCCTGGTTTTTTCAATATCACATGATGGTAGACAGTGCATGCAAAGATATTTTGTCCTA